CCACCTAGGCCACGCCAGCGCCGAGCTCCTCTCGCCCGCGCCTCCGCCGTACGAGTCGTTCGGTGCCCCGTGAGCTCCGGCGAGCTCGCGTCGCCATCGTCGCGCCCGTGAGCCCCTTGGTCACGCGCCCTCCCTGCCCCGACCACGAACCGCGCCACTGACTGCTCCCAGATGAGCTCGCCACTGCTGCCGCTGTTCGCCGACCAAGCGTCGTAGCCGCTGGCCGCCAGTTCGCCTCCGCGCGTGCGCGTGCACCCGTGTGTGCTTGGCCTTGTGCCACTAACCACTGGGGCCCACGCCCCTGTATTTTTCCAAGGAAACAAAAGAAAACGAAAATGAAATAAAAACAATAAAAACAATATAATTAATTAATTATGATAATTAATTAACTTAATTGATCATGTTAATTAATCTAATTAACCCTGTAATTAACTTTAATTACATGTTTAGGTAAACACCCTATGACAAGTAGGCCCCACGCCCTGGAACGTTTTTAAAAAATTAACTAACTAAATAAAATTAAATAATAATTAATTAATCAATTAATTAATTAATTGGCTTAATTAATTATGTTTAGTTAACCTAATTAGCTAATTAACCTAATTAACTAAACAGTATGACATGCGGGACCCCCACGTCAGATTGACCCAGTCAACCGCACTGTTGACTGCTGACATCACACATACGTCATGCTGACGTCAGCAAACACTATTCTGGATAATGTTGAATTAAATTAATTAAATAAATTCTAAAAATGATTTAAAACTTTAGAAAATCATATAAAATAAACCGTAGCTCAGATGAAAATACTTTCTACATGAAAGTTGCTCAGAACGATGAGACGAATCCAGATGCGCAGCCCGTTCATTCGCCACACATCCCTAGCATAGTGAACCTGCAACATTTCACCTCCGGTTCATCTGTCCGAAAACGCGAAACAACGGGGATACTTTCCTGGATGTTTTCCCCTTTCGCCGGTATCACCTACTACCGCGTTAGGGCACACCTAGCACCGCGTATTGCCATGTTATGCTTTGTGATGCTTTGATTGCTCTATTATTTATTGTGTTCCCCCTCCGTTACTTCTTTCCGGTAGACCCCGAGGCTGCCGACGACACCCAGTTCGACTACGGTGTTGACGACCCCTCCTTGCCAGAGCAACCAGGCAAGCCCCCCCTTTGATCACCAGATATCGCCTATTCTACCTCTACTGCTTGCATTAGAGTAGTGTAGCATGTTATTGTTTCGATTGATCCTACTCTGTTGCATAGCCTGTCATTGTTGCTACAGTCGTTGATACCTTACCCGCAATCCTAAATGCTTAGTATAGGATGCTAGTTTATCATCATTGGCCCTACATTCTTGTCAGTCTGCCTTGCTATACTATCGGGCCGTGATCACTTGGGAGGTGATCACGGGTATATACTATACATATATACATACTATACAGATGGTGACTAAAGTCGCGTCAGCTCGTTGAGTACCCGCAAGTGATTCCGATGTGGGGGCTGAAAGGACAGGTGGCTCCATCCCGGTAGAGGTGGGCCTAGGTTCCTGATGGCCCCCGACTGTTCCTTTGTGTCGGAGCGACAGGGCAGGTTGAGACCACCTAGGCGAGAGGTGGGCCTGGCCCTGGTCGGCGTCCGCGGTTACTTCATAATAACACGCTTAACGAGATCTTGGTATTTGATCTGAGTCTGGCCACTGGCCTATACGCACTAACCAACTACGCGGGAAAGATATGGGCACTCAACGTCGTGGTATCAGCCGAAGCCTTCGTGACGTCAGCGACTGAGCGGCACGCGCCGGGTTGGACTGCGTTAATGCAACTTCCTTTGTAATGGAGGTTGCTAGGTCTGCTTCCGGCCGCGTACGCAACATGCAGGTGTGCAATGGGCGATGGGCCCAGACCCCTGCGCGCATAGGATTTAGACCGGCGTGTTGACCTCTCTGCTGTGCCTAGGTGGGGCTGCGACGTGTTGATCTTCCGAGGCCGGGCATGACCCAGGAAAATGTGTCCGGCCAAATGGGATCAAGCGTGTTGGGTTATGTGGTGCACCCCTGCAGGGAAGTTTATCTATTCGAATAGCCGTGTCCCTTGGTAAAAGGACGACCCGGAGTTGTACCTTGACCTTATGACAACTAGAACCGGATACCTAATAAAACACACCCAGACAAGTTCCACAGACAACCCGGTGATCGCTTTTCCACAGGGCGACGAGGGGAGGATCGCCGGGTAGGATTATGCTACACGATGCTACTTGGAGGACTTCAATCTACTCTCTTCTACATGCTGCAAGATGGAGGCTGCCAGAAGCGTAGTCTTCGACAGGATTAGCTATCCCCCTCTTATTCTGGCATTCTGCAGTTCAGTCCACCGATATTGCCTCTTTACACATATACTCATGCATATGTAGTGTAGCTCCTTGCTTGCGAGTACTTTGGATGAGTACTCACGGTTGCTTTTCTCCCTCTTTTCCCCTTTTCCTTTCTACCTGGTTGTCGCAACTAGATGCCGGAGCCCAGGAGCCAGACGCCACCGTCGACGACGACTCTTACTACACTGGAGGTGCCTACTTCTATGTGCAGGCCGTTGACGACGACCAGGAGTAGTTTAGGAGGATCCCAGGCAAGAGGCCTGTGCCTCTTTCGATCTGTATCCCAGTTTGTGCTAGCCTTCTTAAGGCAAACTTGTTTAACTTATGTCTGTACTCAGATATTGTTGCTTCCGTTGACTCGTCTATGATCGAGCACTTGTATTCGAGCCCTCGAGGCCCCTGGCTTGTATTATGATGCTTGTATGACTTAATTATGTTTTTAGAATTGTGTTGTGATATCTTCCCGTGAGTCCCTGATCTTGATCGTACACGTTTGCGTGCATGATTAGTGTACGATTGAATCGGGGGCGTCACACTCCTTCACCTTTGGTAGTCGCGTGGTCCCTCATAAGGAAACCAGGGGTGGCACACTTAAGGAAATTGTTAGCCTCGCCATGGGCCCTTCATACCATGTGCGTATGAGCGAATATGGCTTGAAACACCTTTTATGTGTGTCACCAGAAGGTATAGAACCACTTCTTCTCGGCAACTAGATGGTTTCAGCATCATCAATTTTAGGTAGTAGATTTAGAGCCCCAGAGTTAATTATTTGGCGTAGATCCAACTTGTGCACGTAGAAATCATAAGGAGTCAGCACGTCATGTTTGAGTACTGATAAGAACTCTATAGGAATTCCATCAGGTCCAAGAGCCATGCTATCAATAGTAAACTTGGTCACTTCCTGGCAAAGGGTCTATCCAAATCTTTGTTACCATCTTCTGATAAACATTCTTCAGGTCCATATCATTCTCTAGATTCATATGGCCTCCTTCTCGCCAAACAAAGCTTTCATAATAAGTCAAATGGTCAGTAGCATTTTAGAGGATTTGATCAGTGCCCATCAGAACATCAGACCATGTTTAAAAGTGTACATACTATCCCCGTCCCCCCTTTTCCCATTTGCCATTCAATGGAAAAATTTAGAGTTGACAACCCTGCAACAATCACCTTTCACCGGACCTGTTATGCGAAACTAAAATCTTCCTCGTCATAGATATGAAAGGAAGCCCTTTTGATGAAACATTTCCTGCCATATTGGTCACTAGAGAAAGATTAGATTTCCTAAGGTCCTTTTGATGTTAGCACTCCACACTTTAAGTTGTATGTTACTTTCCTAACTTCAGCAAAAATCTTCTCAGATTATCTATAGTAGCTACATGTGAGTTCCATGTTGTGTCTCCACCCTCTCAAGAAACTCGGGGTGCACCTGCTAATTAGATTCAAACCATAAGCCTTTGTTTTTAATCTTCAATAACTATTCATCCGCGATCAAAGAAATGTGATCCCACTTATTTACAATCTTTAATATTAGTGCAGCTTATGCGAGTGGATTTGGTCTTGCCCACTTTTTTTTCTACAGTCAGTGGTGGAACACAATGCAATTTAGAGACGACTTCGACAAGATCTGTTTTATTTAGTACTTCTTCCGTTCCACAATTTTGCAAGTTAATATAGCCTGCAAAAACATCTTATATTATGGGACGGGGAGGGTATAAACCAATATGTCAAATTGGGTCTGTAAAAAAAGAATTGGGCACATCATTAACCCCAGCCGCAAGGACCCAACATGAACAGCAACAATGGCAATAACCATTCAACGAAAAAAAAACAATGATAATAAGTCAATAGTACCATGGCACACGTGCCTAACTCCGAGCGGCTGGTGCGGCTGGTGGCGGGGCGTAGAGCGACCTGAGCTGGCGGTCGACGAGTTTGCTGTGGTTGAGCGCCACCTGCAGCTCGACATCGTCAGCCCACCACTGCTCCAGCCCGTGCGCGGCCAGGAACTTGCTCGGCCCCTTGGAAACAACCACCATCCTCGCCACGCCGGCCTTGCTAGTGCCGCTCCCGCCCCCGCTGCCGACGGCCACGGTGGCCGTCCCGCTCGCGGCGTCGCTGTAGTAGCAGCAGATGTAGTCGTTGGTGTTAATGTAGAGGTGCGGCAGCCACTTGGCCATCCCGGCGCGCGCCAGCGACGCCTTGGCCTCGCTCTCGCTGTTGCTGCCGCCGCCCGCGTCCCCGCCGGCTTGGGTGCCCATGTAGGGTATCCAAGCGCGCACGCGGCCCCACAGCTCGCCGGCCGTCTCGGCGAAGCCCTTGAGGCTCATGACCAGCGACACGGACGGCGGGTTGAACACGTGGCACTCCACGAAGACGCCCTCCTTGGCCAGCGCCTTGCCCACCTGCAGCGCGAACCCGGCGCCCAGCGAGTGCCCGCCCACGCACACGTTGGCGACGCCGAACTTGCGCGCGGCCGCCCGCAGCGCCGCCAGCGCGCCGGCGAAGCGCACGGAGCCCTTGAGGCTGTCCCAGGCCAGGAAGCGGAGGTCGTCGACGACGTCGCGGCGGAACGTGGGCGCCTTGAGCAGCGTGCCGCGCAGCGCCACGACGGCGGCGGGCGCGCGGGTGGGCCGGAACGGGATGTAGTCCGAGAGCGCGGCCTGGCGGTCCCACTCGAGGACGGCGCCGTAGATGGAGCCGTCGCGCTCGTCGACGAGCGCCTGGACCAGCCTGTACTTGAACGGGCGCCACCACTGCGGCGCGAGGCTGGTGCGCTCGTCCCGCTTCTCCTGCCGGTCCAGCTCCAGCAGGTACGCCCCCTGGATGAAGCACGCGATCACCATCCGCCGGTAGTCAGGGTTCTTCCTGCATCAACCATCGCAACAACTCCCGGTAAAGCTTTTTTTTTCGGGTGAAGCTACGCGAATGTGCAATGCAAATCATGCACTCGTCCAGGTGTAACAAACGCATACGGATTACGGAGCACTGACCAGCTTGAGCTAAGAAGATCTCTCCAGCTGGTGAAGGACAGCTTGCGGGGGCCATAGACATGGTACTCGAACGGACTCGGCACTGGCACCACCGCCGTTGCTGCGTCGCCGGCGTTCTTAGTCGGAGCCGGCTTGGCCATTGATCGTTCCTCCACCGTCAAGTCGCGAGCCACGCAGTGCTGCCTTTTCGCCTGCTCTGCTCAGATGTAAGGGAGGGAATGGTTAAGCTTCCGCGAGAATAGTTTGTTTCAAGCTGAAAAGAATCACGGAAAGCGCGGCGAAACTTTTTATCATCGGTCTTTATTCCATCATCCAACCAGAGTAGCATGGAACATGCTTCTTTCTCCTCTCTGTACCATGCTGAATTAGAACTGGTGGATTACAGCCAGAGTTGGGCGCACACGATTCGCCAACTTAAGATGGAGATGGCAGTCATATGCTCGGCCTCGACGAGAAGCATCTAAAAGCAGAAAAAAAAAGGTTGCAGGAATCTGCCCAACGCCCAGCAAATCAGTCGAGGATCAAGACACCTCGTCAGTGTAAGATTCAAATTACCTCTACATTGCGTGACTGTACATGCAAAGACCATTTTCTGAATTTGATTTCGCCAGATCAAGGGAATCACAAACAAGACAAATCTTCTCATTTGCAGTTGCATGAACCGTGATCGCATGAACTACAACAACTGCCACCTGGGCACAAGTGCAAGACATACAAAACCTCGACTAGCTAACTGGTTGGTCATCACTGGCCGAAGATGCCTGCTTTTCAGCCATCAACTTATCAAGGCGCTTCTTGAGGAAAGCTTGCCTGAGTTTCTCTCTACGAGCCGACTCCTGCTCTTGTCGCCGGTGTTTCATCGTTGAAGCCTTCTGCCTTGCTTGACTTACTTCGTCGTGAACCTCCCTGCAGACATGCCATGGTGCAAGTTAGTCAAAGACCTGAGAAATATTATTCTCAGAGGGAGACAAAATCGTTCAGGCTGCAAATTCATTGGTACCATCTGGTAGTGATAGTATGCAACCAAGGGATCTACAAAGCATCAGTTTTAAATTTGAATCTAGTAACACTGTAATACTGTCATTCCCACTCAAGAGAATGCATGGAGGCTGGAGCAACATGGACCATGGAAAATCTTTCTAGTTTATTATCAATGAGGTGCCTCTCCTTATCACACGACTACGGTTAGCTGGATTCACACTATGGTCTCAACCTTTGCACATCTCCTGGGGTATCAGTATCCCTGTCTCTCCATACAAGGCCACATTCCCCAAGCGTTACAGTTTAACGTGCACGGAAAGTTTGTACGACTAATTGTGTCATATATAAGTGCTTCACCAGATAAGAGTGCTCTACTAAACTACTACTTGTAAGTTATACCAAGGCACATTTTAATTAGATCAGTAAATTGAGGAAATATTTATGACAAATAAAACCAAAGTAATGCAGCTCATGCTAAAAACATTTAGTTCAAGTATTTACTTGGATAGAAAGGATATCACAAATGTAAAGGGAACATGAGAACATCGAGAATTCAGAGTGTAGTTTTGTAATCCCACCTAACACAACGACGTGCAATGCTCCTCATACTACAAAACAGTTGTGGTACCTTGTAAACTATATCTACAGTTAGTCTGTACATGAAGCAGCTGAACACAGCTTGTACAGATTTACAAATGGTAGTACTCACAGAAAGAAACTACTAGTTAACAATGTGCTTTGTTAGGGGCATGACTCTGTTGTTATGGGGTGCAACACGTGATCTATGTCTACATGGGCATGGCATGCTAAGAGAAGTGATCATGCACAATATACCAGCACTAAAAGGCATGTAATGGATACTGCAACTGGGAGCCCAATTTATGTTCAGTGGTTTATGCAAGCGTCAAATGATTACAAGTGTTGGAACCGCCAGTTCCAATTTTGTTATGCATCTGCCATAGAGCAATTTCTACTTTGACTTCTCAAGGACTGGCACAGAAGTTCAGTGGATCAATGCAGCAACTGCCCAAAGAAAACAGTACCTGACAAAGCGTTTGTGCTCATCTTGGTCAACTGTTGTACCAGTTCGTCCAAGGCCCATTGGCTTGGGATTTGGCATAGAATCGACACTCTCATTTTCTTGTTCTACATGCTCAGACGCAGTAGCAGTCTCTGGCTGCCGGCGCTCGCTGACTTGATGAAAACTTTTCTGGAAGAAATCAACGCAATATTTCTCCTGGTCTTCTTCATCAGGTAGCTCACCCCTGGATAATTTCTCATACAGCTCAGCCTTCTTTTCTAGGGCAGAATAACATGCAGTACCATCTTTCACAGCTTTCAGCTCCAGCTTATCTCTGTTGAAAAAAAGAAATATTACAGAGACATTAGTAAACACCAAGAGCATGCACAAGATGACAAGAGCAAAATGAAAAAGGTGCCAAAATGTGAAAATGATAGAACAAGAAAAACAATGACATGCTGATAGAGTGAAATCAAGATGCTTAGAAATGCCACACGAAAAGCAGAACAAATAGCTTTATATTGAATGGTAATTCTATGGTATACTCATGGTACAAGAGCAACTGTGGCCAGGATGACATTTTCTTGGAAACTGAGAAAAGAAAAATCAAATGATGGTTTAGTAGGCATCTCCTTTCAATTAGATCCATTGTTAATTTTCAATGTTTGTTGCTAGGAAAAGCAAAATCGTGTTATCGCAGAATACCGCACAACGTACAAGCACATGTAACAGTTCACTCCTTTAATTACCGGCAGTACAACCACTAAGCAAACACTTACGTTTTGTCATTTCACTCAAGAAATTAGCATGTTAAGAATAGCGAATATGAACCACCTTCTAAAATAATTGCGAGTGTGAACCAGTACCCATTATTAACCTAGAGAAGCTCTGGCTTCCTACCTTGTATAGCACAAGGGTAACACAAACTAGGCTTGGCAAAGCACATAAAATGGTGTTGTGCATCCGCACAGAGAGATTGAGCTTATGCAGTTATAATTCAGTCCTCATATTAGAGTAACAAACATCTAATGCCCTATACAGCCAAGTAATTTCCTAACACAGGTCACGCAACCAACCATAGGTAAGGGCATGTCAAAGATATAGTCAGCTATTATCTCTTGCAACCCTCCATATCAGGCGGAGAGAATAGGAAAACAAGAGTTATCTCTTAAATTGTCCATTAGTAGTACTTAATTCTTAAATGGAATAAGAAAATGTCATGATCAACAGTGAATATTATCTTCCGTGAACTATCTGTGTTGCCTGGTTGCAATAGCTGGAAAATTTTACTACATACAATTTTCTAGTAAGATTGATTCATATAAGTGCTGTTATCTTAACTTGTCTACTGTGTGCATAATTCACAGCTTTATTCATTAATTCGTGCATTGCAATTGTTACAACCAAGCAACAGAAACAGCCCGCACACATAAAATCCAATGTTGATCGCCACGTTAAGCAGTCCATTATGTTAGTTGCCTCTAGTGTTTCCTCTAGATCGACAAGGAGTAGAAGAGAAACAGCTAACTCTACCTATGTACACCTGCTTTTGTAGTTTGCACTGCCCTAAAGATGATCCATGTTGAAAGTCCATATTGGGCTATTTAACAGATAGAGATCACGTCTACTTAGTCTCCGCTCTTAGTGCAGAGGATCGATATGGGAATCTAATACCTTAACAAACGGTAAGCCATAGGATTGATTCGGTAATTCCCCTCAAAACTAGCACAAAAAATAGCCAGGCTACATCACGCAGAAGAAATGCCATAAGGATAATTGTGGACGTACTTGTGGGCACGTGCGTCTACGCCTGAGTTCTTGGCGCCGAGGGGATCGGCGGGGCCGGAGCGTTTCTTGGCGCGGCGGAACTCGCTGGAGGCAGCGTCAGCGGCAGTGGAATTGCGGGCTTCCTCCTGAGTGCGGTAGAGCTGGGCCTTGAGGTCGAGTATGGATGCCGCGCCGACACCCTCGATGGCCTTGTGCTTCTTCGGCATCACCGTGGACTCCGTCAGCCACCCGAGCGACTCCATCCGCCGTTCCTTCTGACCATCCTGCTGCGCCGGTGGCTGCGGATGCTGAGCCGGTGCGGCC